ACCTGCATTAAGCTTTTTATACTAGCTTAACTACTGTCAAATAGCTGCTGTCTTTCACCCTGAGATGGTTGTGCCTATCCTGATATACAGCCCTTTTGGAGTGTTTGGTTATACTACAAATGAAGCCCTCTGGGGACATATAAATATGTTTAACTAACCACGACAAACCCTACTAAGCTTTTTTTGTGAATGTATATTTCATAATATGGCACACATTTTTCTTCTACCTCAGCCACGTATAATTTCATTCGTCTACTAATACCCCACACAATGTTATCAGCGCTACAAAGTCAACATCTCATGCTAGTCAGTAAATGTGAACAGAACTGCACTGCTAATTCTGAGAAAAGTAAAAGATTCAACATTTTAAAACAAATTTTCCACTCTCTTTATTGAACACATGTAATGATCTGTTCCTTTGCCAGGTATTATCTGCATTCTGGCATAATATTGCAGAACAAAGACTGATAGACTTGCCCATTTAATATTTTACACTGACTTCAGGCAGACCAAAATCATTCAGATGAGGTGCTATAATAGTCTCAAAGATAATCTCTCTCGCGCAGATATAAAAAACAGGAAAAGATAACTAGTTGCTCTTTCAGTCAATGTTCCAGATCAATTTACAAAAGCATATTAGAAACACACACACAAACAGATTTTGCTTTATAATGGTTTCTGCTACTTTCCCCTCACCAACTTATTCTTCTACTTAAAACTCAGAGTTTACATCAATCGTTTTCATTGCCAATACACAATGTCTGTTTTGAAAAAGGACTTTCACCCTTACTTTTGGCTTGAAGTGTAATTTTAAAAAGGAAGCTCATGTTTCTGGACAAATATTAGCAAGATTAAAAAGCAAGCCATTAGCAGTTTAGATGCCAGATTCACATGCATATAACATGGACTCCCCGCTCCCCACCATCAGCTGCAGGAAATCAAGGAGTGCATTTTAAACAAGGAAATTCTAATATTATAAAAGTCTCAACTGGAAACAACCAATCAGAGTGCTCCAAAAGTGTTTCGGACAGGGGGTGGCGGCAGAGCATCGCCAGGATAGCAGGAACAGAGCTCGGGGGGGGGGTGACATCAGTGCTGCTGGCCTCACCTCCCCCCGGCCCCGCTCCCTGGAGGTGGCGGCGACAGCGGGTGGAGTGGGCCCAGACCCCAAGCAGCAGGGGGGGACGACCCTGGGCCCAATGTGGTGGGCAGGAGAAAGGAGAAGTGAGCCCAGGCCCAACCTGGTGGGAGGAGGAGCAAGCCCAGGCCCAGTGTGGTGGGAGGGAAGGGAGGGGAGGAGTAGGCCCAGGTTTGACCCAGTAGGGGGTAGGGAAGGAGGAGCAGGCCTGGGCCTGACACAGCGGGGTGGGGAGCAGGGAGTGGGGCCAAATCCCAGATGACAAAGGTAGGGGGAGCAGACTCAGACAAGGGGAGGGACAGATGTGGCGCTCTGTCCCTCCCCGCCCCCGCATCATTCTCAATGGGCAATTTGCCAGTATAGTAATAACAGCTTCTGCCGCATAAGCCTCTGCCAGGGGGAAAGAGGAAATAACACTGAGTACTGTCCAGGGGGCAGCACAGGGAGTGTGAGGAGTTCCCAAGCTGCTGGTTATGGATCAAAGGAACCCTGTATACTCACTGCGCTGCCCAGATGCAGCATTACCTGCCCTTTCCCCCAGGAAAGAGAGGTTGACACTGCTGAAGCTGACTGCAAGAGCCTCTGCCCCAGTACCCAGGGCCTAGCTCCACTGTATTTCTGAAGCAGAGCTTAGCCCCAGGCACCAAGGCAAGGATTC